TCTCCCTCCTCCCACTTTCTTCTCCCTTCCTCCATCACCAGCTTCTTCCTTCTCCCTTCCTCATTCCGCCAGCTCTCCCTCTTTCTCTCAGCTTACTCCTTCCCCTCCTCCTGTCACCAGCTCTTTCTTCCCTACTGTCTCGCCTGCTCCTTTTTCACCGCTTCTCCCTCTTCTTCTCACCAGTTCTCCCCTGCATCCACAGTTCTCCTTCTTCCTTCTTTCTCACCAGCTTCTCCCTTCCCCTTTCCTACTTTCTCGACAGTTCTCCCTTCTCCTTTATCCCAGCCGTCTTTTCCCAGCCCTTTCCCCCTCTCCTTCCATCCACCGCACTTACTCTCCTCCTTCTCACCTTCCTCCTATTCTCACCAGTTCTCCCCCTCTTCCACCACTTCTCCCTTCTCCTTCCTCCACCAGCTTCTCCCTTCTCCGTTACTCATTCTCACCATGCGTTTCTCCACACTCTCTTCTCCACCGCTTCTCCCTTCTCCCCTCTTCTCAACCAGCTCCTCTCCCCTTCCTTTCCATTCTATCCTTGTCCACCACTTCTTCCCCTCCTCCTTCTCCACCAGCTTCTCCCTCTCTACCACCTTTTTCTTCTCCCCTTCCATGCACCCACCAGTTCTCCCTTCTCCTTCCTCTTCTCCACCGAGCGTTATTCCCCTCCGTCTTTCTTCACTAGTTTTACTCCTTCTCCCATTCCTCATACTTCACTAGTTCTCGCCCTACTCATCCTAACTCAATACATTTTAATCTCTTATCTCTTCCCCTCCCTTCCCCTCTCCTCCATACACGCTCCTTTCCGCCTACCTGTACCGCAACTGAGGCCATGTGCTGACGTATGGGTGTTCAATGATACGGCATTAGCAATCGCCGACGTATACGCTGTAGCGCAATCTGTCCGCGATGATGCCTTTCGCTCCAAGTTAATTATACGACGCTAAACTGAGTTACCGCTTTCCTGACAGTGTATCTATTGTCTCTGGTGTATGCCGCGTAGAAATCGGAACTCAAAGTCGGATGTCGTTCAGGGCTTTCATATAGTTTCAAGTCTTCATAACATACGTACTGCGTGTATCTACTCAGACTTTTAGCTATCAGGCTAGATATGTTTATGAATTTAGATATACTAGTATATATTATAATATATTATATTGTATATGTTCAGCATAAGTGTTATAATATACATACATTATAATATAAGAATATATAATTATGTAATATAAGAATAAGGATATGGATAAACATACACATAGGTAGAAACAATAACATAAGTGAGGTATAGGTATGTGCACGGATCAACGTCCAAAGGATAAGTTACATTAACTATAATGCATACAAATGCTTTAGCGGGTGCTCAATAAAATAAGATGACGCAACGAAACTGGTCTTTCAAAAAGCGCTGGCACCCTTTTTCTCGAAATGGCCATCAAAAAATTTAAAAAAATTGTTCTTTTTTATTTTGTTTATCTGAGTCTCTATCAACTGTTGTTTTTGCGTTAGTTGAGGTGACGGCCCATAGAAGCTGGTGAGAGCTGGCGGAATGCCGACCCCCACCAGCCGCGAGAATCACACACAAGTCATCGTCTCGTTTAACTCTAAAAACGCCAAAGAACCAAAGTTTAAGCGATCCTACGTAAGTCTTCTAATGCGACACGTAATATCAGAATCTACACAGAGTGTAAGCATTACGTTACAGCGACTAATGACTATGTTCGCTATGTACGGTCTATTCAGATATGAGGTCAATGTGCCGCAGTGTGACTGTGTATGTGTGTGTGTGTGCGTGGTGAGTGCGCGCAGAAATGTGGTGCAGCTCTGTGTGTGCTGTGGGATAAACGCCCTGTGTGTGTGTGTGTGAAAAAGCCAGTAATGTGTGTGTGTGATGCGTGCCGTGGTGTGCGTGTGCGGTCCGTGCGCCGTTGGGCATGTGTATGTGTGTGGTGCGTGAGTTGTGTGTGGTGCGTGCGTTGCTGTGCGTGTGTGTGCGTTGTGTGGCTGTGTGTGCGTGTGTGGGTGTGTGTCGGGCAGTGTGTGCAGGCCGTGGGTATGCGCGTGTGACGCGCTGGTATTATTTATACATAATTATACATCGTTCTTCAAAAATTACATGCTTATTTTACGGATGCGATGTGTTTACGTATAAAGTCGCCGCGGGGTTATGTCTAAACTCATTTCTATTGATCATAACTTGCGTTGAATAATCGTCGCTCCGTACCTGGCGATACCGGATAGATAAGCAGCAGTTCTGACGCGATTCAGTGTAGAGGGAGAGGAGGCTCATGGAAGCTGGGCAGAGAAATGCAAAGGGCTTCTGAGATCCAAGAGATTGACATCCAGTTAGCTTTTCATATGCGTACGATTTAATCTTAGATCGCCGTCATCATTTGCTAATAATACATAATAGACACCGACATAGTTAGAGACTGAAGGTAAATAGATTCGACAGGCTGAAGACTTCTGCCGTATAACTGCGGAAGAAGATTGCAAAATTACTTCTCTAGAATGGCGTGTCTAGAATGGCTCCTTTCTCATGAATGACAATGTAAATATAAAACTGGTGACATCATTGTGACATATTGATGAAGGTTGACAAGCATCAGATCTCATTTAGCAGGGTATACATAGTTCGCCTATATCTGTCGCCTATTATTTGATTAGTCTCCCGTCGTCTATTCTTTTTCATGTCGGCCTATGTACATCGGTCTCTTGTTATTGCATTCGTCACATAATCGTTCACCATTTCTCTGTCACCATCGTTTGCAAATTGTATCGTTGTTTATTCCACATCGTGGCACTCGTTATCATCATCGTATTCATCGCAACGTTATCATCATCGTTTATCATTATTATCAATGTCATCTATCGTCCGTTATCATCATCGGTATCTATTCACGTTCATCATGCTATCGGTCACCGTTATTATCTCGTATCATATGCACCGTTATTCCATCGTCATCATTATTCATCTCCGTCGAATCTTGTCATCATTATAATCTCTTCCATAATTCGCACAGTTCATCTTTTCCCCAGTTATCTACTCCGTCTTCTGTCGACGTTCATTAATCATGTCGCATCATCGCACTAGTGACATTCATCGTCATCATCGCACCCATTTCATCAGTCGTCCCCGGTTTTCATCGTCATAATCGTCAGCGTTATTATTCATCTTTCTATCGTCCACTTATTATCTCGTCATCATCTCACATTCATCTATTGATTTCATCGTCTCATCGTCACGATTATCTCTCAGTCATCATCACCACCCACACGCCCCACTATCATTACATCAGTCATTGTTATTATATCGAACCATCATATCGTCATCATCATCGTCATCGTCACGGTTCGTATGTCATCGCTGATTGCAGACTTGGCTTGCTGTGTTGTTCTATGAGGTATACGCTGGCGTTCGTTGCAGGACTTGCTGCTTGCTGTGTTGTTCTATGAGGTATCCACGCTGGCGTTCGTTGCAGGACTTGCTGCTTGCTGTTGGTCGTTCTATAGGCTATACCGCTGGCTTCGTTGCAGGACTTGGGCGCTTGCTTGGTTTATTAGGTATCCGGTGGCGATTCGTGCAGCCATACAACCATTGCTGCTTGCCTGTGTTGTTCTTGGATGGTATACCAGTGTTAGCGTTCGTTGCAGGACTTGCTGCTTGCTGTGTTGTTCTATGAGGTATACCACCCCGCTGGCGTATCGGGCGCACCGTTGCAGACTTGTGCTTGCTGTGTTTTAGTTCTATGACGGCTATACCGTGGCGTTCGTTGCGAGACTTGTGCTTGCTCGTGTTGTTCTTTGAGTCACGTGCGCTTTTCGTTGAAGGATTGTGTTGCTGTGGTTGTTATATGCGGTATACATCGCTGAGCGTTCGTTGCAGGACTGTGCTTGCTGTGTTTGCTTTCGATGAGGTCTACCACCAGCTGGCGCTTTCGTTGCAGGCTTGCTGCTTGCGTGTGTGGTTCTTATGAGTATTACACGTGTGGTTCGTGCCCAGGACTTTGCTGTTGCTGTGTTGTTCTATGAGAGTATAACGTGGCTGTCGTTGCGTAGGACTTGCGCTTGCTGTGCTTGTTCTTAGAGCATAGTACACCTAGCGTTCGTATGCGGACTTGCTGCTTGTGTGTTTGGTTCTATGAGGATATAACGTGCGCCGTTCGTTGGCGAGACTTGTCCCTTGCCTGTGTTGTTTATGAGGTTACGCTGGCGATTCGTTGCAGGACTTGTGTTGCCTTGTTGTTCTATGAGCGTTTACAGCTGGGTTCGTTGCGATTGAATGCTTGCCCCCACCGAATCCGGCTGTTGTGCTTCTATGGGTATACGCTGAGCGTTCGTTGCAGGGACTTGCTGCTTGCGTGTTAGTTCTATGCGGTTACAGTGGCCGTTCGGTTGCAGGATTTGCTGAGCTTGCTGTGATAGTGTTCTATGAGGTATACGCTGGCGTTCGTTGCAGGCTTGCTGCTTGCTGTGTGTTGTTCTATGAGGGTATAACGCTGGCGTTCGTTGCAGGACTTGCTGCTTGTGTGTTGTTCTATGACCGGTATATCGTGGCGTTCCGTTGAGACTTGATGTTGCTGTGTGTTCTTATGAGTTTACGCTGACCCCAGAGTATGCGTTGTGGCAGGTGGTGATTGGTGATCCTGAGGAGCGCTTTCGCGTGGACGTCACACACACGGGTGACTCGATGTTCATTCAGAGTAAAGACCTCGACCGCGAGCTGTACCCGCATTACAACGGTAAGCACGCAGGCCTCCCCCTTATATGTTACATATATTACTAGTATATACTACTAGTATTATATTACTATATATAGTGTTATATACTAATGCCATGGTCACGCGTGTGAGTCATAATACCTGACCACATGTCAGCCATCGGGGAAGTATTTTATTAATTAATTATTTAATTAAATGATTTATGTATTCATTTATTCATTTATTTATTTATTTATTTGTTTATTTATTTATTTATTTGTTTGTTTATTATTATTATCATTATTATTCTAGTATTTCAATATGGGACGTGTGAAGAGAGCAGGGTGCCTCTCTACATGCTGCATATACTAACCATAGAAATAATATACTAGATGGACTCGTTTACTAGTGTCTCTATAATATATTTCTATGATACTAATTAACCTATATATACTAATGCCAGGCTCACGCGTGTGAATTGTAATACCCCGTCATTGTGCGAGTGTTTTATTTATTTATTTATTCGTTTATTTATTGATTTATTATTATTAATATTAATATTGTTATTATTATTATTGTTATTATTATTATTATTATTATTATTATCATCATCATCATCATTATTGTGGTATTTTATTATGGGGGCGTGTAGAGAGAGAGAGAGAGAGAGAGAGAGCAGGGTGCGTCGGTGAGCGGGTGGGAATGTTGTTGGTTTGTTCCACGTACGGGGGCAGGAGTCATATAGTAATATAACCTCTAAAGTTTCAGTATACCTCAATGTTTGACGCCCTGACGTTGGATAAAGTGGTTCGCACGGGTTCTACAAACTCCTGAACCGTCCCACACTACCTTGACTATTATGCTCTCACACCGTAGCCTCGTATAGATGCTATAAATCAGGGGGCCCTATTTTTTTGGGGGGGGCCTAATTTGGTCAGAAACAAAATTAATCTTAAAAATAGTCTTAACATTAGGTTTTTCTCGTAGACAGGACCTGTCTATATACACTCCGTATGAGAAACGCACATAACATGACCATTATGTTTCTGTCGACGGGCTATGGTAAATGTTAAGACTATAATGTTTAGACTAATTATGTTTCTGTCGACGGCCTGTGATGAATGTATTGTTAAAACTATAATTATGTTTCTGTTGACGGTCTGTGATAAATCACAGGCCCTTGGAGGCTCAAGTTTCAAGAAGAGTATAAGAGCGAAGCGCAATTAATTCGCTCTTATATACTCTTCTTGAAACTTGAGCCTCCAAGGGCCTGTGGATAAATGTTAAGACTATATAATCATGTTTCTGTTGACGGTCTGTGATAAATGTTAAGACTAACGTTAAGATTAATTTTGATTTTGACGGCGGGCTTCAGTGTTATGATGTGATTGATTCACACCACCGTGTATTCTCCTCTACAGTCATAGTGAAGGCACACAACTGTGTCAACCGCACCGATCGACTTGAGACTGACGTCGACTACAGCGCCACCGACCTGACGCTGCTGCTGGTGCGTGTCAACGTGCTCGACATAAACGACCAGGCGCCAGTCTTCGTCAACACGATCGAAGAGTATGAGGCTGAGTTCAACATGACGTCAGTGGTCAACTACAAGGACTACGTGTCCGGGATCAAGGTCAACAGTCACGTGGGCTCGATTGTGTCCGAGCAGGTCAAGGTGAGGTCACGCGCGCGTGTGTGTGTGTGTGGTGCGTAGTGTGTGTGTGTGTGTGTGTGTGTGTGTGTGTGTGTGTGTGTGTGTGTGTGTGTGTGTGTGTGTGTGTGTGTGCGTGTGTGTGTGTGTGTGTGTGTGCGTGGTGCTGTTGTGTGTGGTGTGTGTGTGTGTGTGTGTGTGTGTGTGTTTATATGTGGTGTCAGTGTGGTGTGTGTGTGCGTGAATGTGTGCGTGTGCGTGCGTTGTCGTGTGTGTGTGTGTGTGTGGTTGTGTGTGTGTGTGTATATGTGGTGTGTGTGTGTGTGTTGTGTGGTGTGTGTGTGCGTGTATGTGTGTTCGTGTGTGTGTGCTGTCGTGGTGTGTGTGGGTGTGTCGTGGCGTGTGTGTGTGTGTGTGTGTGTGGTGTGTGTGCTGTGGTGTGTGGTGTGCACGCTTGTCGTGGCGTGCGCCAGCATTGATTCAATAGAAGCGTTTCAGGGTGTATGACACGCCATGTTTCATTAGAAAACCATTTTTTCCTACCTGCATCTTTTCTAGAAATTAATATTTATAATTGTAAATTTTTTTAAATAAATAGCTATTTCTTAAGTTACCTTAACAATTCGGAACGGTCGCCGACTCAATTCCCATGTCTAATCGCGCGTTTTGCTCTCTCTTGTAATCTTCTAGGCTATAGATGAGGACCTCCCACCGAACAACCACACGCAGTATTCCATCGGGCAGTTCGTGGGAGAACTCAACTACAACTACTGGCTCGAGGAAGACAAGTATGTAGTCAAAAATATATTCATGGACCAGTAGACGTTAATGAGGAGATTTTATAGAAAAACACTTCTCCAGAAACTAATTATTATCAGGTAATTCTAAGGTTTATTAACTAAATAATTATAATTATTAGGGAACTCAGAGGTTCTGAGCGAGGAAAACGTTCCCAATGAAAAGTATGATAAATAAAAAGAGAAATCTTGCTGGCGAACGAATCGGCGAATTGCAGTATGCATGTATAACGCAGTAATTTCACTACAAGACTAAACAACCCCATAATAATGCTTTTTCTTGCTGTTGTTGTTTTTTGTTGTCTAAAGTTTATACTTTGTTAAAGGATTTTTCTAGTAGGTCTACTATTAACATCGATGTAATAAATTTAAATATAAGTAAATAAAACTACTATGTAATAAATAAAAAAAAGCAATAAAGTGCAGAAAATAAAAGCGAATGAAAGAATCTAAACAAGTGAGCATCTCATCACCGGCGCGTGCATTGCAGACGCCCGCCGTTCGTCATTGATCCGGACACCGGTGCTATCAAGCTCAACCACTCACCGAAACCCAACGCACAGGGCCTGTGGCGTTTCATCGTCACGGCAACCGACCCACCGCTAGGAGAAGGCCCGCACAGCACGAACGCCACCGTATGGGTAAGCTAGCCTTTCTACGCCATTTTCTTTTACCCTCTCACCATAATGATCGCCACCAACTGAGTAAGCTTCCTTGTCTAATGCTTTAGGAGAAACATTTTTTAGATAGTCTTATTGGCGTCAACATGGCGGGCGTATTTCTTACGTAGTTAAGTATTAAAATTGTGATTATGGCGAATATATATTTACATACATATATAGTGTGGTTGTGTGTGTGTGTGTGGTGTGTTCTGTGGTGTGTTTGTGTGTGTGTGTGTGTGTGTTTGTGTGTGTGAGAGAGAAAGAGTGGTGCTTGTAGTGTATGTATGTAATGTGTGTGGGTATGTGTGTGTGTGTGTGTGGTGTGTGTGTGTGTGTGTGTGTGTGTGTGTGATGCGTGTGTGATGAGAGAGAGAGAGGAGAGAGAAAGAGAAGAGAGAAGAGACAAGAGAGGAGTGTGTGTGGTGTGCGTGAGCGTGCGCAGTGTGCGTGTGGGTGTGCTTGCTTCATGTGTGTGATGCGAGTAGTGGCGTGCGTGCGTGTGCGTGGCGTGACGTGCGTGCGTGCGTGCGTGCGTGCGTTGGGTGCCGTGGCGTGCGCGGCGTGTGTCGTGTGTGTGCATGCGAATGTGTGTGAG